ATAAAACTAAACCAAGCCAAACTCACCACCGCTGAGTTGGATCCAACTCAGCGACCTCTCCTTGGGTTTCCGAGGCAGTATCACTACAGAAGTAGATCGTCCAGTCTTTCTTCGAAGGAGTGGCTGGTAGGTTTGAACCGCCAGCCTTCTGGTTAGCAGTCAAATGCCTTAGGCACTATGTTTCCAGAGCACCTGTGTGTGTATATTCCCCCCCCCCCAACTCTTTAAAAGTGTCAAAACATTCTTAGCTTGCAGGTATACAAAAATAGGCTGTGGGCCATAGTTTGCGCACCCCTGAGGGGAGGGCTTTTTGCTAGACTGAAGCATGCTATTCTTCCCTTTAAAGCATGCATTTAAAAATGTGTTTTCATTTTTGAGTGTAAAAAAGTATATCCAGAAGAGGATTATTTCCTTCCTTGTCCTGCCTACCTTCTATTGATCCTCCCCCAACTCCAGAATTCATGAATCAGTACTATTTCATTGAATTTATCCCTCCCTCACTTCCTTCCTCACATTAAGTTCTTAATTCCAAAAGAGAACCTTAACAGTAATGAGTAACTATATAGGATCTTTGATGATTAAATATCCTGTCCGTATTTCTTCGGTGTTTATCTTAATGTGCTAATATTGTAAAATTCCCTGAGGGCAGCAGAATAACCTGTTTCTGTCCTGCAGTGTTTCAGTCATGGACAATAGTAGGTGCTTTGTAAATAGTTGTTATATCAAGGTACTTTGTGAGTGCCAAAAGGAATAATTGAAAAGAAAAAGAATAGAGAGTGGAAATCAATCTTAATTATGGTAAACTTACCTCTTTCTGGTAGTGTTTTGTTGGTATCATCCCTGTTTTATATATGAAGACGTGTACGCTCAGAGAGATTAAGTAATTTAGTTAATAATGGAACCTGACTTGGAGTCCAGGATTACCCAGCTCCTGAGGCTTAGTTAGGAACTCTGGTGGTACAGTGCTTAGGCACTCAGCTGTTAACCAAAAGCACTGCTGTTTGAACCTCTGCCAGCTGTTTCAAGGAAGAAGAGATATGGCAGTCTACTCTTGTAAGGATTTACAGTCTTGGAAACCTTGTGGGGAAGTTCTCTGTTGTATAGGGTCACTATGAGTCAAAATCACCTCGATAACAAAGGGTTTGGTTTGGTTCAAGGCTTAGTTATTTCGTCTGTACACTAGCTTCTCAAGTATACAAAAGAATCTCAGTGAATTACAAACACAGCTGTTTTCCAGAAAATGACCAATGCATTATGATTATGGT